CTAAACTGATTAGGAATCCTAATAACTTGTTACCAAAACAGATTAGGAATCTTGTTACCAAAACAGATTAGGAATCCCAATAACCTTTTATCAAAACATATTAGAAAACATATTAGGAACTTGCTATTCAACAATTCTCCACCTCGACGAAGTATTTTCAAAACTGAGCTGACACCAATACCAACCAAACGTCCCACTTGTTACGTCCAATACGAAGTGGAACAAATCCACGACAACGGACTTAATCCATAACAAGTTGAGACCAAAACGAGAATATGAACACTCTCCAAATATCGATATCAACTTACCAAACCGGCTGCATTATAAATAACTGCTTATGTATCATCTTGCTCAAGGAATCAAGCATTCACGTAGTTCACTAAATGGCCTCCAAAGACTATCAATCCAATAGAAGAGTTCGCAACCCTTCTCCAACATCATCACCAAATCTGTGGTTGATAGCTCTCCTAGTGGCCCCAAAGTAAAACAATCCAAACACCTCCACCTGAGATGAACCAATTGTCATATCCAAATCTAAACTATGTCCACAAGCTGTACTCGAATCAACCAACTCATCATCTGCATCCAAATTCAAATGTTCCCTAATTTGTGTTATCTCAGCTGGAATCCCAAACGATGCAGTATGATCTAGAGTATGTGAAGTAATCTCCACCTAACGTAGAGTAGCATCATCCTCCACCTACTGTGATATCCTAACAATCTGATCAACACTCTCCACCTGTCGAGAGTCAAAAGTGACCTACTCAGAACAAAATCAGAAGATCTCAACTGATAACCAAACGAGTCTCTGAATCCTAAATGTGCAATCAGATCAAATCTCACATCCTCGATGTGATCAAATGATGGGCAACCAAACATCCGATGCAACCTAAAATCTGAAGCAGCTCCACCAGATCTAAAATCTCCACATGTAGTAGTCAACAACCTATGACTAAGATGACCCAAATATGTCGAAGCTCCAAAACTCCTCTGCAATCTAATGCTCGACAACCAACACCGATTCTCCTCCAGCAAGGAATGACCCATCAAAACTGTCATCTCATCTCGTCATCCCAATGTTTCCACTCTAATGAAGTGTCTCAAACTGTCGTGAAATCGGTACACATAAACAGATCCCTCTTGTACCTCCTACTAAAATCAGAATAAAGTACCTTCACCTTTCTGTCTATCTTACACTTTTTTAATCTGTTGGAGACTACTAGGACTTTATCCAAATGAGATTTGATTGCAACCCAAACATGCCTAGAACAGTCTTCAACTAAAGAAACCAAATATCTATTACCTCCCAATGATGCCTCCTTGGAAGGTCCCCAAATACCTGAATGAACACCAACTAGAAGACCCATCGATTGATGGATAGAAGTGTCAAACTCCATATCGGTCTTCTCGTTCATACCAATGTGCTCAAAGGACTTTAATCTGTAGGTCAAAGTACTCCTCAACAAACTATGACGGCATAACCAATCAAATATCACAGCCTCAACAAATGTCATAGTCTAGCCAAATCCAAAGAAGTCGTTAGCTCTCTATCAAACACCGTGCTCCAATCAAATAATACAAATTCTTCCTCCTGACGTCCTTCATCTTAATCATGAATCCAAATGTGACCTTCAAACATGCATCCTCTAAGGTCACCCGATAGCCTGCTGCCTCTAAAATTCTAAGTAAAATAATGTTCTTCTTCAACTAAGGAATGAACCTCACTTCATCCAACTCGCGAATCACTCGGTCATACATCCTAATACGAACTTCAGGCAAGGAACTCAACAATAATAACGGGTTGTCCTCATCTTCAATCATCACATCTACATTCGTTAAATCCACAAGAAGTTTCGTGTAGTAATTCATGTGATCACCAATGGATGTTCTCTTCTTCAATTGGAAGGAATAAAGCCTCCTCTTCAAATACAAGTGGTTCTCTATACTCTTGGTCAAATACTTTCTCTCAAGGATCTCCCAAATCTTCTTAGCCAAAGTCTCATTGATCACATCATATTTCAAATCTTGAGTTAAATAAGATCTAATCACACCACATGCCGTTTTATTCATCTTCTTCCAAACCTTCTCCTCGATGTCGTCCGGTTTTCCATCCAACTCTAATATGTCTTCCAAATTTTGCGTGTTGAGCGCATTCAAGATTTTACATCTCCAAATACCAAAATTATTTATGTCATTAAACTTCTCCACATCTATCTTCATAGAGTGGATATTCAAACTTTGGATGGTCTTCATGTCGGAAGTATCCTCCACAACTCCTTCTTTCTCGACTATCTTTCTCAAAGCACCAACAAACAAAAGCGGAACAAACAAAAAATAGATCCAAATTAAAAAAATGATAGAGTCTTTACCAAAAAGATCTCACCTTTATCACCAAACGAAGTCCTAGACGAGCCTCCAAAACGATCTACTCCTCCAAATAGCCCAAGCATAACCCGAGCTCTGATATCACTTGTTAGGCTCTGATACCGCTTGTTGTGCGTGGCGGAAGCCACAAAACCAAACCAATGTGCTTCGAGAGACCAAATCATACAAACGCCGAGAGACGGCCAAACAATGCAAAATAACGCCACAAACTCAAACAACTAATTTTAACGTGGTTCGGCAAGTTGCCTACGTCCACGGGGCAAGAAGGGGACGTGGTTTTCACTAATAGAGAAGAAGAGTACAAACTGAGATTACAAAATCACACAAACTCATCAATTAATCTCACCAACAAAGCTCTAATTCTCTCAGACAAAACCCTAACCAATAGCTCCAGAAAAGGCTTCTTTTATGTGCTCCAAATATCCCCAATTCGCTGCTCCCCAAACCTAAAACGTGTTCCTATATATATAGAAATTCTAAAACCAAAAGCATATTAGAAATTCTAAAACCAAAATCAAAACAGATTAGGAATCCTAATAACTTGTTACCAAAACAGATTAGGAATCCCGTTACCATAACAGATTAGGAATCCTAATAACTTGTTACCAAAACATATTAGAAGACATATCAGGAACTTGCTATTCAACAGCTCTCCCGTGGGTGAGCTTAATCAGCGTTTAATTCTCACGTGCACCAAATGTGCAATAGTTGAATCACGTTACAAAATTGAGCAAGGAACCTCTACCCAGTCAATTGGATGCATGAACGACCTTTTACTTTTTTGTCTCACGACCTTTCTAATATATACTTTTAGAAAGATGAGATTAAAAGTGGCTAAATTTGTCCCGTGCGGTGAAGGCGATATCCTCCTCTAAATTTTCTCCTTCTATAACTATAAAAAGCTGCAAATTTCTCTCAAATTATTTTCATCCTCTCCATCTTATTATCTCTCTCCCTCGCATTAATCATCTTCTTCAACTTCAAAGTTAGTTCAATCTTCTCCATAATTCTTGTATTTTAATTCCTCGAAATCTCTGGCCTCCGGAACCTAGTTTTCAGGTAATTTCTCTCTTGTTTAATTTAATATTTTTATTTTGAGAGGAGTATCGGTTTGGAGATTCTTATCAAAAGTGAATTATATGTTTCTTTTTTTACTTCTCATGCTTCTATGAATTTCTTCTCATATTCTTTTTCTGCTTTTCTCTTCATTTTTCAGCAGTGGTTTGCAATTATAGTCCGTTTTGTCTATTATTTGATATCTTTAATTTCTATGTATTTTTCTCTCTTCTTTTGCATTCTCTTCATGTATATTTTGTATCTATTTTCTCTGGATAGTAAACTTTCTGTAAATCTTATTTTGTATCTATTTTCTCTGGATAGTAAACTTTCTGTAAATCTCCAAATGGTTACTTAAAAAAAAAAATCTTATGAATTACTAGGTCTTAAAAAGAGACGTGCGGTCTCAGCTTCAAAATAAGGCTACAAGATTAATGATGTTATTGCAGATGAGGGTATCTGTTTAATTATATGAATGATGTATGAGTTGTCACGCAGCGTTGTTTGGAAATCATTCATGGTCATTCATCTCCTCATGATATATCAATACTCGATCGAAGTAACCTTTTCCCCACTTTAAATTTAAAATTTATTATTTAGCGGCAACTTTGTGTTCATGCGTAGGGAGAGCTTCGAATTTACCAATGACAACTTATTTTGATAATGCCTCAATATCGATCTTTAAATGAGTGCATGCAAAATGCTCGATGCCCGTGTACATGTCCAGTTATGAGAGAGAAAAATGCATTGAATTTTCAAATGAGTAGTGCTACAGGGACCTCAAATAGGGGACCCCTGAGGGGACAGGTGAGGTGTCAGCCCATTGGGGGCTGATTTACGGTTCATGAACAGTAAATCAGCCCCCCAGGGACTGACACCTCACCTTTCCCCTCAGGGATCCCCTATTTTGGGGTCCCTGAGGAGTTTTCCTTTTCAAATAGCATAATGCTATGGGAAAATGTATCAAAACTTACATTATTATGATTGGGCAAAACTTCACTGGAGGCCTTCCATGTATTGTTCAAATATCATCTATCTAGGTTTTTTTTTTTTATATCTAGAAGTGATCAATTGAGATCTCTAGCGTTATATACGCATCAATTAAACTATGTAGTTTTACAAAATTTCCACTAAATTTTGCTCACCAAGACACAACTTGTAATGTCATTCTCTTTAGCAAACTGGATGCTCTCCACGTCACTGACACGTAAGCAGGCTTTGACAAATGTTTCATGAAGGAACATGCGCTAAAAAGTCTGCTGTCTGCCTCTTCTTCCGTCTATGAATTTGAGATGGTCATACCAATTGTGGCAGCGTGACAAGTGCTGACATCATGATTACTTGAACCCAGTACAAACTATGTGGGCCCTGCTTTCCAGAGCACGTGCTTGTGATTTCGGCCCTCCTTTTCCTTAAATTTGATTAAATTATCGTAGACACCAACATCAACCGGGAACTCTATTGACTCTCCTCCTAAGTTCTTATCAATAATTCCGTTACGCTGAAAGATAATTTAGTTGATACTGACAGCCTTGACACAGAAAAAAAAAAGAAGAAGAAAAAAAAAACTGAAAATCTATAATTATTGATTTAACCTCCTCGATTATATGTTTACTGCATCTACACAATGGAGAAACCACCTCCTCAATTATAATCGTTTGTTATTTAACATATCATTATAATTTGTCTTCTTTCTTGAGTGAAATTGAAAATGAAACAGTTTGAAAGAAATTTAGTGCTAAATTGTATCAGATTTAATCTTCTCAAGCCCATAAACTTCGATAGAAGAAGAATGGCATTTTGGTCTCTATTTCTCGTTGCGTCGACGCCAAGCATACAAGTTCTCCTCATCGGCCTCCTTGGCGCTTACCTCGCCAGCGGACACAGCAACATTCTCACTGCAAGCACAAGAAAAGATATGAACAAGGTTTGTGTGCAATATACTTCATAATTATGCATCAACACGTAATAATTTATGATATGTATATATTCTTACACTACATATTCTACAGATTGTATTTGCAGTCTTCACTCCATCTCTCATGTTTGCGAACCTAGCAAAGTCCGTGACTCTTGAAGATATCATATCCTGGTGAGAACCCGAAACCCTGTAAATTATCGGGCTAATATTAATTTTGTGGAATTTGGTGGATCATTTCGTGTTTTGTTATTGTTTTTTCAGGTGGTTTATGCCGGTAAATATTGCGATTACTTTCGTTGTTGGAGGAGTTCTTGGATGGATTGTAGTGAAGATATTGAAACCAGAGAGACATCTTGAGGGTCTAGTCATGGCTACTTGCTCTGCAGGTTTGTTGTAATTTGGAAACGAACAATAAATCTTATTTATGACCCTGTACAATTGCTTACTTTGTGTTAACCGGTACCTTGAGGTATATATAGTTTACTTACACAAGTGACCCTTGAATCTGACAGTAGTTTAACAATTTTTTTTTTTTGTTGAATTGGAGTTATGATTGGATGTTGGTTAGAATTAGCTCATGAATTAAACTTAGGGTCATCGCATAGAACATTAATTAAAATTTCATTGTTATAACCCTAATACCAACTCTAATAGTCTGTAATTTTAGCTCCAACCCTAACCAACATCTAACAATAACTCCACATAAGCAAAAAAACTGTCGTCACGCATAAAGTCACTCGTTTAATTACAGTCAGTAATTCCGGGCTATTTCCATAGACACGCGAGCTCCAAGGTCACCCGTATAAGTACATCATACCTTACCGAAATGTGATTAGTCCTTGATCTTATTTGGTCTCGTTAATGAAATGTGTCCAACTGAATCAGGAAAACCCAGAAACCCTATTTTACTCCACAATTCCGTGTGAAGAAAATTTCCAAGCTACAAAGTTCGTTATCCTCAGCTAAAATAAACTTGCCTAAGGATATATTTCTCTCTTGACAGGAAATCTTGGCAACCTTCTGTTGATCATTGTCCCTGCAGTTTGTAGTGAAGAAGGAAACCCTTTTGGAGATCGAAACAGTTGCAGCATTGACAGTTTTTCCTATGTATCCTTCTCGATGGCGGTATAATTATCTCTTCGATTTCTCTTAACCTCATGCAACCTCAAAACATTCTCAAAGTTCTAAGTAAATGGTGATCTTTTGTTATTCCTGCAGCTTGGGGGGTTCTTCATATGGACACATTCCTTTAGTCTCATAAAGAAAGACAGCAAAACATATCATGACGCACTTCTTATGAATGGCAACGAGAATTCAGGGATAAATGATAAAGATCAAACTGTAACTTTCAATCCTTCATATTTTTCCAGAACCACTAGAGTTTGAATCTTTTTACTGATTAGTTTATGTAAATTGTTTGAATGTTTCGATCAGAAAGTTCCTCTGTTGTCCCATAGGACGTCAAGCGAAAACAAGCTGAGTTCATGGGAGAAGTTGAAAGGAACTCTACATCAAATTGCTGAGGAGCTAATGGCTCCACCAACTGTGGCAGCAGTGAGTTTTCATTAAAATCTCTTGAGGTTAAAATCTCTTGAGGTTGAATCTCTTACATAAAATTAGGGGTAAATTTCACAAAAACTCCTGATCGAAGGGTTTTGCAGAAAGCCTCCTGAACTTCTAAATTAGAGAAAACTATTGTGAACTCTTCAAATTATAGAAATTCAAGTTACAGAAAACTACCATTTGGAAATTGTCACAATACATTGACGGCACAGATAAGAAGTCTAAACTATCCTTATTATTATCTACCTAACCTAACCCAGAAAGAGGGTAACAAAGGGGAAATTTTGTTCATAACATGCACAATTTAAACTACTCTCCGACAGTTGCAGATTTTAGCTAAAAAAGTTCACGGTACTTTCTCTGATTAAGGAAGTTCAGTGGGTTTTGTGCAAAACCCCATATTTCAATCGATCTGTGAAATTTACCCCAAGTCAGAATAGAGTATTGATCAGTGGTATGTTAACTGTGTTGGTTTCAGTTTATTGGTTTCTTTGTTGGTGCCATAACTCCATTAAAATACCTAGTTATCGGAGACAATGCTCCTCTGAGAGTTATCCAAGACTCGGTTCAGTTACTAGGGTGAGAAAATGATCATCAATTTTAATAAGTCCTTACAAATCTTTTTCCAAAATATTGATCTTTAACCTCATTGTTCTCAGGGATGGAACGATACCCTGCATTACTCTCATCATGGGCGGTAACCTAACTCGAGGTAACCCTTTGCCTCATTCAAATACGATCCTAACAATGTAAGTTTTAGTGCTAACTCTCTACTGATGAAACAGGGTTTCGCAAGTCACTATTGAAACCTATGGCAATTATATCGATCATCTGTGCACGATATGTGATCCTTCCTCTTGTTGGCATTGCTGTAGTAAAAACAGCCTATGAGCTAGGTTTTCTACCACATGATCCATTGTACAGATATGTGCTAATGATTCAGTTCGCTGTCCCTCCAGCAATGAACATTGGTAGGATTTCAGTCAGTAGAAATAAAGGAATATTCTAGGGGTTTAGATAAATAGCTGAAACATTCGTAAATTATGCAGGAACGATGGCTCAACTATTGGATGTTGGTCAAGATGAATGCTCGGTGATCTTTCTGTGGACATATCTGGTTGCAGCTTTATCACTAACGGTGTGGTCAACAGTCTTCATGTCAATCTTGTCTTAGATTAGTAAAAAGAATCATTCTATTCTTTACAAAAGGTCTTCATGGCTCTGAATCAATATGATTTTTGGGCCTGCATAAATTTTGCAAATGTGCATGCAGAACTAGGAGGGGGTATTGATTGTAAGTAATTCATGGTTCTCTAGGGCAAAGGGTTAGAAGTGTCAATGCTGAAGATCAAAGTTTTTGTTAATTATAGGTGAATGCAACAAGATTTGTCATTCTTTTCTGTATGGACAGTCAATTTTGTTCAGGTAAGAGACGAAGATTCTATGTTTGCAGCAATTATGGTATGTAAGGAGAGATGGATGAAAATATGTATTTCAATCAATAGGAAACAGTATAACACAAACTTGCCTGTCAAGGCTGCCATGCTTATTAAGTTTATTAATTCCTCCAACATAATAGCATCAATTGGGCAACACTGCAATGAAGCACAGAGTCATCATTGGTGATCTAGCACAACTACAAATGCAAATCGAGTTTAATTTAGAATCCCAAACTAAAGTTTAGGTGCAACATGCAAGCTGTGAACTAAAGGCAAGCTTTGCTGAAAGACATGTACACTTAAATTTGTAAATGCTTACTCTTTTGCGGAAGCCGTAGTTGAAGAAAGTTATAGCATCTGCACATTTTTGTGTATCCAAGTGTTTGTGTCAAAAGTTGATGTTTTCATTGTCATCGAATCTATTACAACTTTGGTCATTACAATAAACTCAAATGAAAAAAAAACGATTTTTTTATAAGATCTCCTTTATACAATAAAAATAAAGATTACAACTCTTGTCAAACAGCGCAACGGACGTTTATCACCCGCTGCTTGCATGAGATCTTTGCATGTGTCGGGGACGTTAATATCCGTGGACCGCCGCGGATCAGATCCAGTTAGCAGAAGTTGGATAATCAATGCTCTCACTTCACGAAGGAAGTAATTGCAATAGCGGTGATTTTGACTAAGCAAAATCACAGCTTTTCTCGGGATTTAAGACCAAGCTTAAATCCGGAGGAATAGTGGACGGATCTCAGATCTCTCGAACTCCACTCTTTATGCACAGGAGATCGCCAAGATCTGCTAACCCTTACTGTAAATTCGTGGCTCCACCCTCCAATTCGGCAACACTTCGTCCTATTGATGTCCTCCTCAAAAAATGGAGGCCTTTGGCTCCTATTTATAGGCTTCGGATGTGGTTATTTGGACGAGACTGATGGATTTCTCTGTATCTTCAGTTAACAACCGCATAACCGCTGTATCAGATCAGTTGGAACACCCAAATCCGAAAGAATCCATAAAAGAACCGAAAAACAGAATTTTAGCCGAACAGTCACCCGTGGCTCGGCCTTGGCCGGGCCACCAAATGGTGGCTCGACCTGGGCCCAGCCACCAAATGGTGGCTTGGCCTTGTCCCAGCCACCAAATGGTGGTTTGACCTGAGCCCACCCAGCACAAAATGGTGGCTCGGCCTGGGCCCAGCCACCAAATGGTGGCTTGGCCTTGTCCCAGCCACCAAATGGTGGTTTGACCTGAGCCCCCACCAAATGGTGGCTCGGCCATGGCCCAGCCACCAATTGGTGGTTTGGCCGTCGAGCCACCCTTGGTGACCTGGCTATGGGCCGAACCACTGGTTCGATCGAGCCATTTCGATGCGACTCGACCGTCAGCGGCTTTCTTAGTCTTCTGGATTTCGACTTGTTCTGTTGTTACGGGTATTTCATCGATTCATTGATCTGTATGTTGTTTTGGTGGCTGATGAGCGTGCGGGCCACTTGATTTGCCGATTTGGTGGCTTGTAAGTACATGGGCCACTTGGAGGTGGCCGGTGAGTGCATAGGCTATTCGGTTCGCCGTTTCGCTTCATGTGTTCATCGGCATCGGATAATCCTCTTAGACTTAGATAGTGGCATTCATCACCTTCTCTCTGTCTCGAGCTGTGCGTGGATACCTATAGGTATTTTTAGACGCCTACAGATGCCCCCTCCAAAGTATTTCATGCTCATTCTTTTATGGAGGACTCTGGAATGCTTTGGATATGATAGTCTCCCGCCTTTAGTCGGTGTCAAAGGACCTGTGAACTGTTTTAATTCTTGACTTCCTCAACCTTCAATCTATCCAGTGCTTTGTCGAATAGATGAAGTTCTTCCGACGCTGGGTTTATTGTCTGACCATTGTCGAAGTCTTGAATCGGAATCGGTGAGTTAGTTTTGGCTCGTGTCATTGAGTTGACTTTAAACTGATTATCTTTGTCGCAACGCGTTGACCGGCGTTGACCTAGGGCTACGCGTTGCTCAGCGTTGGCCTTAGGGTTTTGTATCGATCAGCATTGACTTTTATCGCAACACGTTGACTGGCGTTAACACAATTTATACTCGTACGTTTGCTGGAGTATACACAGTTTACGTTCTTAAGGCATTGGAGCGTGGTGATCCAAAATTTTAGGCTGCAGGACCAACTATTAAAATTGTTTCGTCTGCAGATATGGATTTTATCCCGAGTCGTTGGATGCTCAAGTCACAAGACCAACTAATGGGGCTGGTGCGTCAGTGACTTTAGCATATATAGGATTTTTGGCAAACCCTCAGCCATCAACGGGTTTGATGAGCCTTTACCGGCTACTGTTTGAGTCGGGCTAGCATGCAGATTGTTTAAGTCCGTTCCGCATGTGACGTCATGCTAAAAGAGTTAACTCTTTTAGTGCTACGATATTGAATACGTAGACTTCGTCTTTCTCACGTGAAAAGACTAAACGACGACGCGTATTAGGCGTCGACTTTAAGGTTTTTGGCAAACCCTCAGCCTTCAACGGGTTTGATGTGCTTTTACCGATTACCGTTTGAATCGGGCTTGCATGCGGATTGTTTAAGTTCGTTCCGTATGTAACGTTATGCTAAAAATGTTAACTCTTTTAGTGCTTCGATATTGAATACGTAGACTTCGTCTTTCTCACGGGAATGGACTACCCGGCAACGCGTGTTAGACGCTGACTTATCCCTACTTAGACTTCAGGATAATAATCCCCAGACTCGGATTCTGATATCTTTTTCAATCGGTGAAAGACTAAACCGGCAACGCGTATCAGGCATTGACTTATCCCTACTCAGGATTCGGGATAAAATTCTCCATGCATAAAAGGTATGGATTTTTATTACTACGATGCTGAATACGTAGACTCGGTCGTTTTTACGGAAACGAACCACCCAGCAACGCGGGTTAAGCGCTGACTTATCCCTACTTAGACTTCGGGATAAAATTCCCCGTGTGTGTGAGGCACGAATTTTGGTGTTATTAATAACCTGCCACAATATCGAATATATGAGCTTTTGTCCTTTTTACGGTAAAAGACTGACCGGCAACGCGTGTTAGGCGTTGACTTATCCCTACTTAGACTTCGGGAGAAAATTCCCCATGCATAAAAGGCATAGATTTTTGTTGCTACGATGCTGAATACGTAGACTCGGCCGTTTTTACGGGAACGAACCACCCAGCAACGCGGGTTAAACGCTGACTTATCCCTACTTAGGCTTCGGGATAAAATGCCCCAGACTGGATTCTGGTGTCTTTTTCAATCGGTGAAAGACTAAACCGGCAACACGTGTTAGGTGTTGACTTATCCCTGCTCAGGATTCGGGATAAAATTCCCCGTGCGTGTGAGGCACGGATTTTGGTGTTATTAATAACAATCTGCTACAATATCAAATATATGGGCTTTTGTCCTTTTTACGGTAAAAGACTGTCCGACAACGCGTGTTAGGCGTTGAGTTATCCCTACTTAGGCTTCGGGATAAAATTCTCAGTGTGTGTGAGGCACGGATTTTGGTGTTATTAATAACAACCTGCCACAATATCAAATATGTAGGCTTTTGTTCTTTTTACGGTAAAAGACTGACCGACAACGCGTGTTAGGCGTTGACTTATCCCTACTTAGGCTTTGGGATAAAATTCCCCGTGTGTGTAAGGTACGGATTTTGGGAGTTAAAAAAGTAGTGTCTTCTTTGGGGGCAAAGACGAACCCGATGCGGGAGAGGAAGAATTTTATATTGTATCTCCCAAAAGCTGAAGAGGAAGAATTTTATATTCTATCTCCAGTTACAAAAAGAACCTCAAAGTGGGATCTCTACTTTAAGAATCCGGGAAGATGAAACTAAGAGTGGGATCTTCACTCCGAGAATTAAAAAGATTCGGATAATCCTAACCGTCGGAAGGTTTGATTATCGAACTAAAGATGGGTTTTTCGTTTATCGAAAATGAATTGTGATTTTGGCCCTAACTGTAAGAAGGTTTGACCAAGCAGGAGTTTGAGGTGATCCTAACTGTAGGAAGGTTTGATCACTCGATCTGAAAACGGGCCTTTCGTTCATTAAAGGAATCGAGAGGAAATTTGGCTGTGGTCCTAACTGTAGGAAAGTTTGACCAGATGGGAGGTTTGAGGCGATCCTAACTGTAGGAATGTTTGATCGCTCGATTTGTGGGCCTCTCGTTCATTGGAGGAATCGAGAGGGGATTTTGGTTGTGGCCCTAACTGTAGGAATGTTTGACCAAGTGGACAGTAGGAGTGAGAGTATAAATCACAGTGGGAGTGTTGACTTGTACAAATCACTCAGCAGGGATTCTTGGTGTTAAGTGATAAGGACTTAGCATGAAGGGGTTTGACAATTCGTCAAGGATTGATAGATCAAACTTCTAAGCATTATATCCGGACTCTAATCATGAAAGTGTTGAGTGCACGAACATAACGGAAGTTTGAATGGATTAAACAGGAAAGAATTTTATTGGTCCCACCGTCAATTAGTCTGATCTGTGGGGGATTCTGTGGTGGGAGACTGAGTCGTCAAACACCAATGAGAGTTTTGTGAGGGAAATTTGATCCAATGAAGTGATCGAACCTCATCTCAGCAAAAGAGTGTTCGGAAATCATAATAGGAGTTTAGTGTTTATCACTTTGTTCATAATGACCGGGTTATCCCTAAGAATATTACATTTAACATTCTTCTGGGAACTTCCCGTTACATGAATTATCCACCCCCAGCTTTCTTTGCAAAACTGGGTGTAATGAGGAGTATGTTATCCTCAGTCGCATGTTCGGGTTATCCTTAAGAATATAAGATTCTCTAGGAACTTCCCGTTACATAAATCATCCACCCCCAGCTTCCTTTGCAAAACCGGGTTTAACAATGTACTTAGTTGGATGACCGAGAAACAGTTTATACTCGTATACTTTTTGGAGTGTCAGAAGGAGCAGTTTATACTCTTATACTTGTCGGAGTCTTCATTCAACTTAATTGAGTGATATAACGCCGGCTTTAACCAATGTTTGGATGCTATTCTTGAGAGCAAAGCAATCCTTGGTGGGATGAAG